CATTCTTCTATTGTAAAGGCTTGAAAGGGGCTTATTATGGTTAGATAAATGGAATGGCTTTCTTGACAATTATTATAATGTGCTTTTTCCACTTTAGATTTGATGCTATGTAAACTCCTAGATCTCTTTGAAAGTTGATAGACTCTATGGTGCTACTAAACAGACTGTATGAGACTTTGGTGTTTTTATTGCCTTTGTTGCATTTAGTATACAATTTCAATCTTGTAGCTGTTCAGAGGTTATATGTGGATTAGCAAAAATAAAACCTTCAGTTTGAGTTTATATTATATTGGATGTTGAACTCACTTACACAATGATTTTTCAAACATTATTAGCCTAATGGCAGTCTGTAGACTGTGAACTTGAAAGGTCGTGGGTTTGAAACCGCCATTTGACTACTGTCGTGAACCCCTTCTAACACAAGCATTTTAAGTTTACCAGAAGTGGTTTAAGGGAATATTGTAATGTTTAATAGCATTACCAGTATTTTTTTTAGTAAAAAAATTGATTACTAGGTGGTCTATGGGACATGTCTTTGCGTAAAGACTTCATTAACCATTGTCAGATCTAAGATAGAAGGTGTATGATCATGTCTAAATCTTGTGGCGCTGTTAACTAGTTGGAAGAGGTTGTGATGCACTCCCTAGTGTCTTTTAAATTGAAATTTTATTTGTTTAATTGTGGTTATAAACAAGATAAATATTTATAGCCTCATAAAAAAAAAAACAGGAAATTTGAATGAAAGAGATAGATAAGGTCAGATATAACAACAGTAACACTTGCTTCTTTCTACCATTTGTTTATATTGAATAAATTGTAAAGTAAAAATCAAAGCCTTTCGTCTTACGAGTTTGGTCTATAAATAAATGTTTTATGTAAGTATGTTACATTATTTCCGCTTAGGATATTTAGTAAAGTCTTAATAATAACTAAAATAACTATGATTTCTGATGATTTTGTCAAAAATACAAAAAAACTGTATGCTGTGGCCTTGCCATGGGAATAAAATCCACAAACATTTAATCCCATGGCTACATCTTTGACATCACAATTCCCGGACTGAAAATGCTTGACGCAACTTTGTTCTACTCTTACTGACACTGCATTAGGTCCATATACGTCACAAATTTTTTCTTGACTTGAGTCGTTTTTTTTTTCTTTTATTTAATAAAACTTTAGAATGTATTGAATTTCTTCGTTAGATTCACTTATTTGGCGGACAGAAAAACAATTGAAAAATGGCGGGAGTGTTTTGTTACTTTTTTTTTGTAAACAGTACAGGGTTGCTCTCCATGCCCTTATACAGCACAATACTAAGAAATGCTTAAAGTAACAGCCTATGTACGACCCACTCCTAGGCACAGGCCTCCTCTCATTTCTGTAAGGGTTTGAGGGCAAGGAAAAGCACGCCGCGCTGTCTATTGGGGAATTTCCACATAAAAAAGATATAGAGAGGCTTTGCAAGTTGTGCAAAAATCACACTTATATAGATAGATGAATCTAAGAGATAAAAAAAGATTAAGTGTAGCCTTTTGACTGCAAACTTAAAGTAAAAGGTGCACTGTGAAGTTGCAATGCGTGTTAGCGAACTTCACATGTCTACGAACTTTTTATCTTTTTCTTAGACATGCACGTTATCTCACGATGTTTTTGGTAAGAAATGCTTACTACTGTCTAAAAAGTATAAATATCCCCCCCCCCCCCCCATTCTTCTATCAAAGTGACCTATTTTGTTCTTTATCTGTGAAAACTAATTTTTAATATAAAATTTTCATAAATATCTATAAAACACTATAAGTTTCCCCTACCTATTACCTATGGGAGATTGACCCTACCTGGTCGTCACTCCATTTATAGTATACGCGGACCATGTTAGAAAGCGGCCTCTTGATAACCTTATTTCTTCCTAGTTTTTAGGTTCTTAAAACTTTATGGCCAGTCCACTGCCACTTCAGCTTACTGACCAGTTGGTATATGTTGGTTACTCTGGTTTTACTGCAAATATCCTCATAAAATAGATCACTTCTAGAGAGTTAAGACAGGTTGCTTTAAATATAGAAGAATTCAATTGTCACTTAATAGCTGTATGAATTTTCACAACAACTTTTCAGGTTTACAAAATGACCACAAATCACTCATGAGAAAGATCGAAGAAGGCCTGGGTGAAGTATATTCAGACTTCAGCAGATCAAATGTTAATACATCGACATCACAAACACAGAATTCTTCCCTGCCTTATTATACAAATGGACATGGCTTGAATAATAGTCATGATTCTGGAAATGAACAGCAATGCTTTGCTGTTGTGGGATTTGTTCATGATGGCTCTCCTGCAGACATTGCTGTTAGTATTTTTATTTCTTTATAATTTGATAATTTACATGTACCTATTGTGTGTGTGTGTGTGTGTGTGTGTGTGTTTGTTTGCGTATGCGTGCTTGCGTGCGTGCGTGCGAGTGCGCGTACCCACGTGTATTGTTTATAGGTTTTTCAACCATTCTATAATTATATATTCAGCTTTTCACTTTAAAGTTATTTTGTTTTACGTTCTAACCTCTAAGAATTTTTTAATATAGTCTAGAGGACAAAATGTCTTCTAAATATAGCACTATTTGGACTTGAAACAGCACTTCACTCTGTCCTCGTATTACTTAGTTTTAGATTAGGGACAGTGAAACAATGATATCTCTGTAAACCTTGTATAAGTAATCTTTACATCATAACGTCCTTTGAGAAACTTTTAGGACAAGATGAAATAAAAGTAGAAAATTAATCAATTCATTATTGTCAGCCTTCTTATGTCCACTGGAGGATGTAACATAAGGATTTATCGAAAATGTGCCAGTGGCATTCATATTCATAACTAGTAAATATTTCCCCATAATTACCATGTTGGCCGAGTAGGTTGATGAGTGCAGACAGAGTGAATACTCTATACTCCCTATCAACAGGTTCAGGATTTTTTTAAGACTTTTCCCATCAGTTAGTCATTAGAGTTTAGTCAATTATCATTCTTTTACAAAGAAAGGTGGAATGGTACTCGAGTGGTCGCCTAGTACCTGCGAGCCAAGTATAGAGCGGCCACTCACTAGTCGGAGTGACGATCTGGTAAGAGATGCAGGAAGTTGATGATGATGTATTTTGTGGCATTCCTTGGAGATGCTTATGTTTAGCAGTGGAATTGAGATTGGGTGTATTGATGATGACTTGATGACCTAATAATTACCTCTTACATCCAAAATAGTTAATATTTAAAACATTTGTGAGACTGGCATCCATCCCACCATCTTATAAAACGTGTAAACAGGTGCACCATCTATTTCCTCACTCTTATAATCCGATAGAAAGTGTAATTCGACACAATCAAAGACGGAACATGTGCAAAACCAATGACATTATGTACTCTACAAGGCATGGGGGTGAAACACCACTAACTTCCTCACGTCAAGCTGAGCATTTCTTGACAAAAAATCAGAATAACTGATATTGACTCGACCCGGAACTTGAACCTGAGACCAGATTATAAGCAGTTGCGCTTCTCATTAGGAAAACGAGGCAGTAAAACAGTTATAATATAAATGTTTATATGAAGACACGGTTGGGACCTAGCCATTTTGTCGCAATGATCAATCCATTGTTTTTCGTATTTACTAAGTTAAGAGTACAGTTTGTGTTTGTGCATATGTTAGCATCAGATGGAATTCTACTACCTGTACATACAATGAATTTTTGTAAAGTAAATTTAATGTACATAATTTGTGTTTCAGGGCTTAACAGAAAACGATGAGCTACTTCAGTTTGGTTCAGTAAACTACAATAACTTTTCAGACATAACACAAGTCCACAATGTCGTGGCACATTCAGTAGGCCAAAGGATACAAGTAAAGGTGAAGAGGGATCGACAAGTTCTCTCTCTGACTGTTGTACCAAGGCCTTGGGCACATCCAGGCTTGCTCGGCTGTCAGATTAGAAGAATTACTCCTTCATAGAGCTTTCAATGAAAGCGAGATACTTTGTGAATGAGGAATTACGGCTACACTTACAACATAACTGGTTTGATGTGTTTTTTACAAATACTACCACATATTAATTAATTTGTTATTACTGTTAAATGGTAGACTTAAATTGATTGTGAATTGTGATAGTCGCCTAATGCAATATGTATTTTGATATCACTGAAAAGCTAATTATAGCTGTAACAATACTCTTAATTAAATAAATGAAAACATAAGCAGCGATTTACTCGGTCTTACTACAAAACTTGGTTTATTCATAGTCTCAAGTTTTAGCCCCTTTTTAGTCTGATTCAAGAAGGAAATCCCGCAGAATTAAGCGAACTAAGGGTGTTACCACACCAATCGAACGACAACGATCGACGTCGATCAACGGCATTGACCGATTGGTGTTGTAACACTCTGAAATGGAACGTATGGTAATTAACAGCAAGTGTCAAACGCAGAGACTCTAAAGGACTTATTTTATAACAAAGTACCTCTAATGATTTCTTATATTTACGCGAAGACTACACATTTTACGGATTATATAAAAATTAGCTTCAATTAAAGCGTCAGTAGCCTAATGGCAGGGTGCGGACCGTGAACTCGAAAGGTCGTGGGTTCGAATCCGCCATTCGACTACTGTCGTGAACCACCTAACACAAGCATTTTAAGCTTACCAGAAGTGGTTAAACGGAATTTTAGTAATGTTTAATAGCATTACTAGTGTTTTTTTTTATAAAAAAAAATCAAAGTACCTCTAAGTTTACCTAAACAAACTAAACTTCAGGCAAATTAATATATTAAAATTATTATCACTGCACATTTTTTGTTTATGTTGCTGCAACTACATCAATGTATACTATATTAATATAAATGGAAAAGCATTTCATTTATCAAAGAAAATTTAAATAATTGCGTTCAAACTAATATATGTTTAATTTGTTCCAAAATATGTTCTTTAAGAATATGTAAAAGAGGTTATGTAAATATTATATATTACATTTAAAAATAAATTTTATGATTAATAACCATCGCTTTTGATTTTCGCTTCATCTTTTTTTTTTGTACTTCTACATCATCTTTACTCTTAAAATTTATATCCGTGGTTTCCTTATCAATTTGCACCTCATCTTTACAAGTATTTTCGTCCTCATCGGGGTATAAGTATTTCATGGAGCATTCAAAGTAGACCTTATCATCCACTAATCTATAATCAGGTTTCGGTATTGTTCCTCTAACGCAGTCATGGTAGTAGCACACGATTTTTTCTTGTTCATATGTTTCACAGGAACCTGGAATAAATTAAAAATAATTTAAGTAATTAATTACAATAATAACTGCGGTTGCCAACTCACCTGCCAAGCGTGGTAGCTATGGCAAAATCCTTCTTTGAGGCAATCTGCGAGGGAGACCTAGGTTCAGCAGTTGACATATAGGCCGTAATGGATTGATAATGGATAGGTTTAAGAATCTACTCTGCACGCCAGTGTGTCGGCTAAGTTCAGAAAAGAAAAGGTCGACTCGCCAATAGTGTGTGAAAGAAATCTTTCAAGTTATGAAAGCCATTTGGGACTTTTTTGATAAGACCTATGTCCAGCAATGGACATAAAAAACTGACGATAGTAAAAGGTTTTTTATTATTGTCAATTTTCTAGGTTATGGGATGGGTCATTCATCATCATCATCATTACAGCCCTTCACAAGTCCACTGCTGAACATAGGCCTCCCCCAAAGAATGCCACAAAGCACGGTCCTGAGCCACCTGCATCCATCGACTTCCTGCATATCTTACCAGGTCGTCACTCCATCTAGAGGGGGGACGCCCTACACTTCGCCTGCCGGTACGAGGCTGCCACTCGAGAACCTGTCTTCCCCATCGGTTGTCGGTTCTTCGAGCTATATGGTCGGCCCATTGCCACTTCAGCGTACTAATCCGTTGGGCTATGTCGGTCACTCTAGTTCTACTGCGGATATCCTCATTTCTGAGTTTATCACGCAGAGAAACTCCGAGCATAGCCCTCTCCATAGCTCGCTGAGCGACCTTGAGCTTCCTCATCCGGCCAGCAGTGAAGGACCACGTCTCAGTTCCGTATGTCATCCCTGGCAACACGCACTGGGTGTACAGTCTCGTTTTCAAGTTTTGAGGTATACCTGACGAGAAGATGTGCCGTAATTTCCCGAACGCTGCCCAACCGAGTTGAATCCGTCGATTGACCTCTCGGTCGAAGTTGGACTTACCTAATCGGACTATTTGTCCCAGGTAAACATACTCGTCAACAACTTCGAGCTTAGTGTTCCCAACAACTACCGGCATAGGTGTGACATGGACATTAAACATGATCTTTGTTTTGTCCATGTTCATCTTAAGACCTATCCGTTGGGAAACACTATTGAGGTCATTGAGTATAGTGTTTAGGTCCTCCAGCGATTCTGCCATAAGGACTATATCGTCGGCAAATCGAAGGTGAGTGATGTACTCGCCATTGATGTTGATACCGTATCCTTTCCAGTCCAGAAGCTTGAAAACATCTTCCAATGCAGCGGTAAAGAGTTTCGGGGATATGACGTCACCCTGTCTTACACCTCTCTGCAATTGCATAGGTTTCGTACTCTGGTTCTGTACTCGGATAGCCATCGTAGCCCTACTGTACAAGCACTTCAACACTTCGATATACCGACAGTCAACTTGGCATCGCTGAAGGGACTGCAGCACCGCCCAAATTTCGACGGAATCAAAGGCTTTCTCATAGTCCACATACGCCAGACATAGTGGCAAATTGTACTCTTCGGACTTCTGTACTATTTGCCGAAGGGTATGTATGTGGTCTATGGTGCTAAAGCCTTTTCGGAAACCGGCTTGTTCGGGAGGCTGGAAGTCGTCAAGTCTGCGCGCGAGACGATTCGTAATGACTCTCGAAAACAGCACGTAGATGCGGCTCAGAAGGGAAATCGGTCTGTAGTTATTCAAGAGAGCGTTGTCGCCTTTCTTGAAGAACAAGACCACCGCACTTCTGTTCCACGCCTCGGGTGTAATGCCACCATGGAGGACGGAATTAAAGAGCTTCTGAAGGACTTCAAGTACCGGTTTTCCACCCGCTTTCAGAAGCTCCGCTGTAATTCCATCCTCGCCTGGGGCCTTGCCGTTTTTAAGGTGCTGGAGAGCCATTCTAATCTTGCTCAGACTGACGTCCGGGATATCATCGGAATAATGTCGGATAAGACTCGCTCTTGGATCGTTACTCACACTTGCGTGCGGCTCCAACGATGACGTGTACAGCTGCCCATAGAACCTCTCAATCTCACTCAAAATCTCAGGTGCCCCGGAAACTATGCTGCCACATTCTGTCTTCAGCTTTGACAGTTGGCGCTTTCTGGCAGACAGATCTCTGGCAAAGACTTTGAAGCCTTGGTTCCGCTCGATCGCTTCTTCAATACGAGCTGTATTGAATTTGCGTAAGTCCCGCCGCATGCATTTGGAGATCTGTCTGCTCAGTTGCCTGTATGCTGTTAAATCTGTTGAAGAATGTAGCTTCATCTCCCGTCTAACAGCCATGAGATTAAGAGTGTGATCGGAGAGTTTTTGTGTTCTTCTGCGGCGGGTCTTGCAGAACTTAGCTCCGACCGCATGGACAGTTTCCACGAGCTTGTCATTCAAATCGTCCACTTCATTGCAGTCTTCTAGGCACTGAAAACGGTTTTGTAACTCGAGCTGAAAGGTTTCGGGACTTTGGATTAGAGCACGAGGGGGACGGAGCGTTGACTTCATAAGACGAGACCTCTCCAACTTAACGTTTAGGTTCAGTGTGCCTCTAACCATTCGGTGATCGCTGCCGACTTTCACCCTCGTGATTACTGAGACATCACTGAACAGTTGTCGTCTGGTCGTCATAATGAAGTCAATCTCATTTTTTGTCGAACCGTCGGGGCTCGACCAGGTCCACTTCCTGTGGGGCCGCTTCTGAAAGAAAGAGTTCATCATAAAGAGTCCCTCTTTCTCCATGAAGTCAGCCAACTGCTGGCCCCTTGGGTTCCGTTGCCCTATTCCAAATTTCCCTACTTTCAGCTCACCGTTCTCTCTTGTGCCTAGTTTTGCATTCCACCGATCAGCTCCACGATCTTCTTGTCAGTCCTCAGGGTGCGTGCGTTGTATGTTGCGTCGTTTTAGGTGGCAACCGAACCTCCACCGGAGATTCTTAGCACCCCCTGCCCCGCCGTTACCATGGTCGCCACCGTAGCCAGGAATAGCGGGGCCGCCGGGGACTGGGGGCCGTTTATTATTGTCATTACTCATGGGGGGTATATTGCCATAGTTGCCACGCTTGGCGAGCGGGTTGGCAACCGCAGTTTTTTATTGTTATTTTGGCTATTATCAGGAAGATGCTGCTGCCCATCTCCTGCCTGTTTCCCTTTGTCGCCTTTTACGACACCCACGGGAAGATATGGGGTAGTGGATATTCTTTACCGCCACTACACGGCAAAAAAAAATGGGATGGGTAAGTGAAAAAAAAACATCGATATATATCGCATAAAAAAATCGATATATCGTCATGTTTTGCATGATGTAGTAGGATAAGACTCAAAATTTTATTACTGGACGGTTGGACGACGAAAAAGAAAAAATTACAACAGCACATGAATGCTCTTGTGGTTTAATGTTTTGTCGATTTATACATTTTAAAATATATCGATATTTTTTACCCAAGCCTATCCTTTACCGCAGTGGTTCTTAACCGGTGGTCCCTATAGGCAACGGCTGAAGTGGTCCGCGAAGGCATCATACAATTCTCTCACATGGAAAAGTATACAACATACCTGTGTGTATACACAGCATATACTGACGATACGTAGCATATTCTGTACAATGAGCTGCTAAATTAGTCTAGTATATATATATTATACAGTAATCTATGTAAATTAGAATAAGGGGCGCACAATGACACCTCTCTTCACATTAATTTTTGTATGTTTTTTTTTGTAGAAAAAAACTTAAAAATTAACCATATTATATTATTTACAAGGTGGTACGTAGCAAGATAAAAAAAGCGGTTAATGGTCTCATATCTAAAAGGTTAAGAACCACTGCTTGACGGCGGGGGAGCTACAGGGGAGAGGATAGACTGTTGCTTTTACACGGTAAAAGGTTCAAGACCCTGGACAATGCAAGTGTCGGGGCTCTTTATCTCCCTCTATAACGTAAACAAGTTTTTAAAGGTCGCGGGCTCATAAGCAGACCTACTGAACATTTAGGTTAATCGGGCTTTGTCATTGACAATTTAGTTTCATAATCCGTATCTACCGTTAATCGTTAGGTGATTCTCGTACCTACATAATAAGTTTAATATTACAGAAAATTACTAAACTTTAGTGACCTACCAGGCCTTTGTACCCGAACCGTTAGTACGGCGCGTTCGGGCGCCATGTTCTTAAAATGCACAAGGTAGCACGCCAGCATAGTACCAGTTCGACCTCGGCCATGTCTGCAGTGAACTCCGATCACCTGCAAATCGAATAATCAAATATAAAGTAGTCTTACGTAAAACATTATTATTGGGACCAATATTTTAAATTACCTATATCGAATAATACTAATTTTTACGGATTGTATCGCGTTTAATTTATTTACTTATTTTTATTTTTCTTAAAATATTAATAAGTAAGGGACCTAGACTAAATGACATTATATGAGATTTGATAAAACCCTTGAAAAAAAACATAAACCGCACAAGCAGTTAGCTACGTGGCAAACTGCCGGCTATATTAATTAAAAATCTAATTCCACCACTGCAAAACTATACAATATTAGAATTAACTAGATTAACTAACTATATTAGATAATGGTTACTATACGATATATCATGGTAGACTTCTATTGAACGCATAATGTTGGGTTAGAGTCCTGACTCATATTGAGCTATAAGAGCCAAAAGGCTAACCATCAGAAACCAGATTGTTGTGGTGCTATAAGAATATCCACTATGCCCTATATCTATGGGTGTCCTAAAAGGCGACAGAAGGAAACTGAACCAGGAGCGGCCAGTAGCATCTTCCTGACAACTACTATGGCAAAATCCTCCATACGGGGCAAGCTATGTGAGGGCCTACATCTAGTAGCGGACTTTTATACAAATAAGGTCGAACACCGGTTACCGGTCAGTACAGTAAATTGTAAAAACGACAAACGTCGGTAATTTAAAATAAGTTCAAAAACGATGAAATGCGTATTGTTTTATTTAGTAATTTAACAGTCGTTAACAAGTAAGAACGTTGCGGTAGGTGTTATACCTATGTTCTAATCCCTTTTTAACATATAAAATTTTGACAAATCTTTTAATATCAGGAAAATTCTACGTGCTATGTCAAATTCACACACCTTACTAAACACGTGCAATATATAAAAACTGTGGTTGCCAACCCGCCTGCAAAGCTTAGCAACAATAAAAAATGCGTTGTGAAGTTCGCCAACACGCATTGGGCCAGTGTGGCGGACTCTTCCTTGGCCTAAACCCCTTTCAGAAATGAGGGGAGGGGAGGTCTGTGCCCAGCAGTGAGACTTATATAGGCTGTAACGTAGACTACTTTTAATAATTAAGTCGTATCTAATCAGGTTAAGTTTCTAACCTTATAATTGTTTATATTTTGCAGATACATATTCGTTTATCTCTTACCTCTCCCTTCATCTCAGCTCGTTCGCATATTTCAATGAACTTCAAAATTTGCTTTAAAGTTGGCGCCCCGAACTCCTTTATTCCTATCTCCGTCCATTTCAACTTCCTTTCAAAGTCGAAAACTGGTGGCAACTTTTCCGGCGACAGTGTAATCAAATGATTAATACCGGAATCAACTAAATAATTTAAGTTTTCAACTGTCTGTGGCCAGCCCATTGCCGCAACTTTGTCCTTTACGAACCATGAGAAATTGTAAGGTGGATACGAGTCATATTGCTTCGTCTCTGGTTCTTCGACTTCTTGTTTTGTCTCCTCTTTAGGAGATGCGTCAGCATATTTGTAAAATAATTTTGCAAGTTTCACATTTGTTCTTTTTGGCACCGTACTCATGATGTGTTTTGGATGTAGGTACTACTTAGTTTTTTTTTTAAATACCGCAGTACCTGAAAGATAGTAACAAAGATGGTTATAGGTAGTTAAATGTTATGACATATTATTTTATTTTGTAAATAAAGTGTTTTATTGAATACCATTACTTTTACGGATTTTATCGCGTTTAATTTACTTAATTTTAATTCCCGACGTTAAAATGTTTTATGACTGTAAATGTCAGAAATATATTCAAAATTGGCAATGGCCCAAGGTCGTTTTTAATTTTTTTTTAAAAACGTTTGATACTTAAAACTAATAATGTTCGGTATATTAATTAATACGCGATATAGTGAAGACCACAGAATAGATAATATAAGTACTAAGACTATCCTAATACTTACTCTAGTTAATGGTCTGGCTAAAGAACAGTTATCAATATACATACGAAGGCCCACCCGTCTTCCAGACGCTATTCAGCAATCTACGCCCAGGCTTATGCTTGAACTGTGATGATCTCCGTTGCAATACCGGGAAAGCCGGGATACATAACTATATAGGTATTACTTATTTAGCATCGCTGTGTTGTTGCGGCGCAAAATAATCCTTCATTTCCTTGTGTCCCGTGGGTGACGTAAAAATGCAACCGACTGTTGGGAATACCAGAAATATGGCTTACAACAGATGTGGTATAATCACATAACCATCTCGTTAACGCCAGGTTTCCTCACGCTATTTGCCGTGGTAAATCAGCACTTAAAATTACAATTAACAATTTTATTGGTGCTGGCATGATCGAACCCGAGGGTTGCTTGCGTACTGTGAAATTTACAGCGAGCGCTAACCATCTGAGTTAACACGGCTATGTTGGTATAAAAAAAATTGAAATAACCTTATAAAAATATAAATTCACGTTTATGCGATAAAACCACAAGTAGACTAGGATGAAGCATCATTGAATATCAAATACATTATTTATAAATAATTAAAAATTTAAAATTTTGTACAGCCGACTTCAATATAAGTTATTAAGAATAACTCAAAAACTATTGGTTCTGACTCAAATTCATACGGGACTACGACAAGTACCAGCTTTCAAATAAAAAAGAATCATCGTAATCGGTTCACCCAGTAAAAAGTTATGAGGTAACACACATAAAAAAAACACACAGTCGAATTGAGTACCGTCTCCTTTTTGGAAGTCGGCAGAAAAGAGACTGAACCCACCACGGTGTAAAAGTCAAAGTCAGGTAATGCTGATGTCTCACGAACCGTGAGAATAGGTCGATTCAATAAATAAGTACCTATATCTATTTTCAGCTTGAACTAAATTACCTACATACTCGTAAAGTTTATATTACATAATAAAATTAATGTGCATGTTGACATGATAAAATATTTAAGTACCTAAGGATATCTAACATTGTAAAATATAATTTATAGCCGAAAGTGACATCACTATAGTAGAATCTTTCTATGCTTTAACGTAAAACAAGATATACAAAATTTACCTTTATAAAAATCAACTCAATCCGAGTAAACCACGTCTTCCACAAAGCAATAAACAATCTCCAGAAATACAAGGCACATAAACAAATGAAATGTCTTCCGCGATTTGATGTAGAATAAACGGATAAAACAGAGGCGCGAAATTAATGGCGTTCACTAATTTTGTTCCGCCATATTGACGTCACTACTCGTATCTGGAATCAGGCCAGCATCATTGGCATACGGAATTGGCATGGACAGATTTGTGTCGCTTGTATGTACACATGTGCAGTGTCAAGTACATTACGCTAATTGATTGAATATTACGGGTTTTATATCATGATACATCACCTCATCTATGGATGCTGTGTGGTATCACCTCATCTATGGACTATTATAAAAACGCCATAGAGATTTTATGGCCTTCAGTAATTTCACTGTCACTGTTTAGCTATCACCACATTCATTTACGCCATGTTCGCCGGCGAACGCGAGGTCTCATCTCAGGTTCAAAGACTACATGAGATTTAACACTCGTGATGGTTTCTAAATCCACCCCTTCTATCGCCTTATCCGAAAGTGATAAAAGCAGAGGTTCAGTCGTTTTTTTAAAGAAGTCTAAGGGTGACAAATGAGCACACACTCCGGATGGTAAGTGGATACCATGGTCCATAAACAACTACATCTCGATGTAAAATCAAAATGCAACTGCCACGACCAACCAACAACCACGCTCTAACAGAATATCTGCGTAAAATACCAGTCTAATGATTGTTATGCCTGTAGATGTTTCGTAAGGTATGTGTAGAGAATTACTGGAAATAAGGTATTTCATCTTAGTCCTCAGGGTTGACTACGCATCTGCATTTTGATTCTTAATCGACGATAGCTGTAGATGTCCACGGGCCACAGCATCCACTTAACATTAGGTGGACTGCGTGCTCATTTATCATCCTCATTTAATAAAAAAGGGTCTCCGGTTCTTGCCACTCACTACACGAAAATAGGTGCAGCAGTATTAAGCTGGTATTTTATGATGTTATTCTGTGCGACCATGGTTCTTCCCCGGTCTAACCGACCTGTACCAGCCATAGAAGACTGCAGCGTGTTTCTGCTACGTAAAACCTCCTAACTCACATGCCTCCTGCTTGTGAGTTTATTTCGGTGAAGTTGTGAAGGTCGGAGGGACAACGACACTATACTTTGACAAAAGCCATATGCCAGATCCAAATGATCCAAATACCCAGATTAGCGTCGAATAGCAGCGTCAGATAAGATGTATCGAGATGTCTGTTAAATTGATCATAAATTGACAATCCTAAGAACAGTAGACATTGTTCTACTATAATATTTGCCATACATATATGTATATATATAATATTTACTTGGCAGAGCCATGCTGGATCAATATTAGTACTTAATATAGTTGTAGCACGAATGGGTCGGTTCGACCGGGTAAGGACCACGCTCTCAAAGAATACCAGCGTAAAATAGCAGCTTAACACTGCTGTGTTTCGTATGGTGAGTGTAGAGAACCGGAGACCCTTTTTACTGGAAAAGAGGCATTCCATCTTAGTCCTCGCGGGTGACAACGCATCTGCATTTGGATTCTTTATTGAGGATAGATGTAGATGTCTATGAGTCACAGCAACCATTTATAATAAGGTGGACTGTGTGCTCGTTTGTCATCCTATCCTATGAAAAAAATCATCGACGTATCGTATCATGGACGTAGAACTGATTACAAATTGAAATGTTTTGCCGTAATTGCTTTAATAATATTTAAGTCAGGTAATCTTTATGATGGTTTTATGGGAGAATATAAATCATAGAACTTCTATCCCAAATGTCGAATGTTTTGATGAACACTGTCAATTAAACGTTATTTAAGTAAATAAAAGAAATAAGTTTATATTTACAATAGGTATGAAATAGCAATAGCACTGGTTTCCCCCACGATGTTTTCCTTGACCTCTGAATGTGGTGAACTGGTGAATCAACTGATATAACTACGATAAATGTCTTCGGTAGTGCCGCTGCCAGTAATGAAACTAAGATTATTATTAAATTTAAGCAAGTTCCCAGATACTGAGCTATCACAACTTTACCTACTTTACTACGTAGCCGGAAATTTTAAGTGCTATTTTTAAAATGATGCGCAATTCACTGTCTCCGAATAAAATACAGGAAAGCATAATGATTACGGTTTTGGCCGTGAAAGAAAAAGGTGAGATCTGCCGCCGGACATACGAACCTTTTAATAGTTATGACGATCTAATGAAACTACCTTTACGGATTTTATCACGTTTAATTTTACTTGTTTTTAACTTCATACGTTTCGAATGCCTTGCACCACCTTCTAATTATACATTTCTGGTCCGATCTACGCAGAATGAGTTTAGTGTGTATTGCGGTGGTATGCTTGGGTTTGGTTTTAATTTTATTAATTACAGGATTACATTTCAAATTTTGTACAACCGACTTCAATATAAAATAAATTATTAAGAATTACTGAAAAACTATTAGTCAGACCTTGATCAAATTTATATTGGACCACATGAGATGCACCAGCTTTCAAATAAAAAAAAACAATCATCGAAATCGGTTCACCCAGAAAAAAGTTATGAGGTAACACAAAAAAAAACATACAGCTGAATTGAGGACCTCCTCCTTTTTGAAGTCGGTAGATAAAAGAAACAAAATTAAATAGCACTAAGTTGTATCGGTTTTGTTTTTTTATAAAGCTTGGCATGTATTACTGTCAAAATAAACATTATAGGTATCATAAGTAAATAAATTTTATTGTATTCAGGTACAATATATTTTTTTATCAAAATTAAAAATATTTCATAAATCACAATATTTTAAAATCACAGAATATCACACTTATATGACTTTTTTCGTACTCTCTTTGGCTGCTTCAATAAATTCCTCCATAACCTCTCCGCTAACGCCAAATCTTAAGGGATTGTTTTCTGTTAGATGCTCGAAATATTTCTCGACGACTTCCTCGTGTTCAGATGAATTTAAGGAACCTGTAACAACCAGAAATATTTAGAAAAGAACTAAAAAATCTGTAACAATAAAGCTCCCCAATCGTATAATATTAGACACTCCTATAAGAAAGAAGTTCTTTTCATTGTTAAAAGTTCGACATATCGAAATCGATTTGAGAATAAACATATACCAAATTAATTTACAATTTTATTTATATACATTAACAAATTTAAAAATATACTATATTAAAAACTATAATAATAATAATAAACTAGAAACTTAATTATCATATAGTAAAATAAAATAATAAACTTAATTATCAAGAATAAACTTGAATGCTATCTAGTAGCACTTTATCAAGGTAGTGTATGAAAAACTACGCCTATGTATACCAGTACCAGCTACTTTCTAAAGATAGATTGAGCTGAAAAATTACAGTTCTATACGCGATTTATTGAATAATCGCGTTGCATAGTAGCAGTTAGAGCACCTAATTACACAATATCAGGTTAAGTAACAAACGGGTGCAACGTATATCAACACAAGGGCATAAGTTTCTCATTTCTGTAAAGGTTTTATAACAGATACCTTAGTCCACTGTGTTACCTCAGTATATCATTTTTATAGAATAAGGGCGACAAACGAGCACACAGTCCACACGGATGCCGTGGCCCATAGACACCTACATGTATCTTCGATTAAGAATCAAATTGTAGATGTGTAATCATCCACAAGAACCAAGATGGAATGCCTCACTTCCAGTAAAAAGGGTTTCCAGTTCTTGGTCCTACCATACGAAACTCAGCAGCATTAAGCTGCTATTTTACGTCGGTACTGTGCGAGAGCGTGGTCGTACCCCGGTGGGTTGCCCATTTGTGCCACAACTACAATATAGCTGCAGCATGCCTCTACCAAGTTGCGAAACTTGGTGGGACATTTTTGTTTCAAAACATTTCTTTAATTTCTCAGACATGCATTTTTTCTTATGATATCACTGCCCAGCATGTTGGTTCCCGCGGGGGTTGTCTTACTTTTTTTTTTATAAAACTAAAGTGGCTAACGAACACATGCGTTGTAACCTCTGAGGACTAAGATGGAATGCCTGAATGAAATGAAGCAAACAACGCATCCGCTAGTCTTCTTTGTTTGAAGTTTTCTTTTATAGAATAAGGGTGACAAATGAGCACACAGTCCACCTGATGGTAAGTGGTTACTGTGGCCCATAGACATCTACATCTATCTTCGTTTGCGAATCAAAATGCAGATGCGTTGTCAGCCGTGAGGACCAAGATAGAATGCCTCTTTTCCAGTAAAATGGGTCTTCGGTTCTCTACACTCACCATACGAACCACAGCAGTGTTAAGCTGCTATTTTACACTGGTATTCTGTGAGAGCGTGGTCCTTCCCATGTCGAGCCGGCCCATTCGTGCTACAACTATACTACTAATATACTTAGCTGCAGCATGGTTCTACCACGTATGAAAAAGTTGGTTACAGGTGTCCTGCAGATGGACTGCAGTTTAGTATCCAGAGGACCTATCAGAAGGACTGTAAGTTCATCTATCAATTCAATTTGAATTTAGAATAATTATATAATTTTTAACAAAAAGTAAAAACCGACTTCAAATTACAAAAAACGAATTTGTTTATTTGATACCCTTATGGGTGAAATTTTGTCCAAATTTATATGGGATTAAATTTAGACCCTTGAAGTATAACATATTTAATAAAAAAGAATCATCAAAATTGGTTCACAATCTGCGAATATATCGCATTACAACAAAAAAACCATACTCTCGGATTGAGAACCTCCTCCTTTTTGAAGTCGGTTAAAAATAAACGGAAACACTCCGAGAGAAACAAGAAAGATGAACGAAGCGCTGCGAACCTACATTTCAAAGCATTGCGGAATCATGCCAAAAACACAGTCACGCACTTTTTTTATAGCTAAGGGTGACAAACGTGCACACAGTCCACCTGATGGTAAATGGTTGCTGCGGCCCATATACATCTACATCTATCCTCTATTACAAATCAAAATGCAGATGCGTTGTCACCCGTGAGGACTAAGATGGAATGCCTCATTTCCAGTAAAAGGGCCTCCGGTTCTCTACACTCACCATACGAAACACAGCAGTGTTAAGCTGTTATTTTACGCTGGTATTCTGTGAGAGCATGGTACTTCCCCGGTCGAGCTGACCCATTCGTGCTACAACTATAATACTAATATAGCTGCAGCATGGCTCTACCACGTAAAAAACGCACTTAAATGCATTCTCGTAAACTATTATGATGTGTTAAATGCATTCTCGTAAATTATTATGTCCAGCAGTGTGCATCCAGCACTAGATTTTTAAAAGAAAAGAAAGAACGATTGATGAACCACGTTGACTCAAGAAGTTGAGAATGGTTTCGGCGTCACTCGAACATTTCATGTGGTGTTCTATCTTTCTTTGATGGTCTGAGAAGAAACACAGAATATTATGTTTTAGAAATAATAAATATAAGTTTTGAGTATCTTCAAGGCAACACTGAATAGGCTTTCGTTAAGCGGTCTTCATCTACATCACCACTTACTATCAAGTAGAGCTAACATGGTAGAGCCGTCAGCTGCAGCTATATTATAGTTGTAGCACGAATGAGTTGACTGGATCGGGGAAGGACCACGCTCACAGAAAACTAGCGTAAAATAGCAGCTTAATGCTTAATGCTTAGTGTTTCGTACAGTGAGTGTAGATGTGGAGAGCCGGAGACCCATTCCACCTGCATTTTGATTCTTAATCGAGGGTAGATGTAGATGTCTATGGACTCCAGCATCGATTTACCATCAGATGATTTGCGGGCTGTCTCCGTGATCGCGAGGGTGAAAACTGGTAGCGATCATCGAATGGTTAGGAACCTAAACGTTAAGTTGGAGAGGTCTCGTCTAATGAAGTCAACGCTCCGTCCCCCTCGTGCTCTGTTCCAAAGTCCCGAAACCTTTCAGCAATGATAGAAGACTGCAATGAAGTGGACGATATGAATGACAAGCTCGTGGAAATTGTCCATGCGGTCGGAGCTAAGTTCTGTAAGACCCGCTGCAGAAGAACACAAAAACTCTCCGATCACACTCTTAATCTCATGGCTGTTAGACGGGACATGAAGCTACATTCTTCAACAGATTTGACAGCATACAGGCATCTGAACAGACAGATCTCCAAATGCATGCGGCGGGACTTACGCAACTTCAATACAGCTTGTATTGAAGAAGCGATCGAGCGGAACCAAGGCTCTAAAGTCTTTACCAGAGATCTGACTGCCAGAAAGAGCCAACTGTCAAAGCTGAAGACCGAGTTTGGCAGCATCGTTTCCGGGGCACCTGAGATTATGAGTGAGATTGAGAGATTCTATGGACAGCTGTACACGTCATCGTTGGAGCCACACGCAAGTGTGAGTAATGATCCAAGAGCGAGTCTTATCCGACACTATTCCGAAGATATCCCGGACGTCAGTCTGAGCGAGATTAGAATGGCTCTCCAGCATCTTAAAAACGGCAAGGCCCCAGGAGAGGATGGGATTACAGCGGAGCTTCTGAAAGCGGGTGGAAAACCGGTACTGGAAGTCCTTCAGAGGCTCTTTAATTCCGTCCTCCGTGGTGGCATTACACCGGAGGCGTGGAGCAGAAGTGCGGTGATCTTGTTCTTCAAGAAAGGTGACAATGCTCTCTTGAAGAACTACAGACCGATTTCCCTTCTGAGCCGCGTTTACGTGCTGTTTTCGAGAGTCATTACGAATCGTCTCGCACGCAGACTTGACGACTTCCAGTCTCCCGAACAAGCCGGTTTCCGAAAGGGCTTTAGCACCATAGATCACATACATACCCTTCGGCAAGTTGTACAGAAGTCCGAGGAGTACAATTTGCCACTATGCCTGGCGTATGTGGACTATGAGAAAGTCTTTGATTCCGTCGAAATTTGGGCGGTGCTGCAGTCCCTTCAGCGGTGCCAAGTTGACTGTCGGTATATCGAAGTGCTGAAGTGCTTGTACAGTAGAGCTACGATGGCTATCCGAGTACAGAACCAGAATACGAAACCTATCCAATTGCAGAGAGGTGTAAAACAGGGTGACGTTATATCCCTGAAACTCTTCACCGCTGCATTGGAAGACGTTTTCAAGCTTCTGGACTGGAAAGGATACGGTATTAACATCACTGGCGAGTACATCACTCACCTTCGATTTGCCGACGATATAGTCCTTATGGCAGAATCGCTGGAGGACCTAAGCACTATGCTCAATGACCTCAATAGTGTCTCCCAACGGATAGGTCTTAAGATGAACATGGACAAAACAAAGATTATGTTTAATGTCCATGTCTCACCTATGCCGGTAGTTGTTGGGAGCACTAAGCTCGAAGTTGTTGACGAGTATGTTTACCTGGGACAAATACGCAGACTAGGTAAGTCCAACTTCGACCGAGAGGTCAATCGACGGATTCAACTCGGCTGGGCAGCGTTCGGGAAGCTACGACACATCTTCTCGTCAGACATACCTCAAAACCTTAAAACGAAATTGTACAAGCAGTGCGTGTTGCCAGTGATGACTTACGGAACTGAGACGTGGTCCTTCACTGCTGGCCGTATGAGGAAGCTCAAGGTCGCTCAGCGAGCTATGGAGAGGGCTATGCTCGGAGTTTCTCTGCGTGATAAACTTAGAAATGAGGATATCCGCAGTAGAACCAGAGTAACCGACATAGCCCAACGGATTAGTAAGCTAAAGTGGCAGTGGGCCGGCCATATAGCTCGAAGAACCGACAACCGATGGGGAAGAAAGGTTCTTGAGTGGCAGCCTCGTACCGGTAGGCGAAGTGTAGGGCGACCCCCCACGAGATGGAGTGACGACCTGGTAAGACATGCAGGAACTCGATGAATGCAGGTGGCTCAGGACCGTGCTTTGTGGCATTCCTTGGGGGAGGCCTATGTTCAGTAGTGGACTTATGAAAGGCTGTAATGATGATGATGATGATGATGGTGATTTGCGTGCTCATTAGTCACATTTATTGTATAAAAAATGTGGGATAGTACTGGCTTGTGATAATTAAAAAAATGGACAATACTAATCCAAAGACTATTGCTAATTACCTGGCCTTATCATTCTGATGACATTGCAGGCTTGGTCGGGCAGGAACCGGTGGAAGTGAACCAGATAGCAAGCCAGCATTACGCCAGACCGACTGCGCCCCTGACGACAGTGAATGCCCATAACCTGGTGGAAAAGAAGGTTGTGAAAATGCAATACTCGTATTTATATATTTTTCGCGAGGCAAGGTTACGTCATGAAGGAGTCGTTAGGTATGACATGACGAAGGGCCTTCTTCACTTACAAAATTCCTAAAACTGTATTTTTCAATCATAATAATAAACACTCACGCCTGTCATCCAGAGGGGTAGTAGACAGAGACTATACGGATTTCCATTTAGCACGATACTGACACATTTCTCTCGCATCCCATACATCCATATACCTGGTCCTTTTTAATTTACTTAATTTACTGTACGCTATTTTTCTACTACATGCTTTACCAACATTATATAATAATATTGAGGTGTCAATTTATAAATAGTTTATTTAAACAAGCTCAGAAACAAAAAGTTTCAGTGACAGTGCGTGCCCGCTGCGCTGTGTGAATCTTAGAACTGTTTATTCTCAGACGAGATACTCATAACTCATAAGCCTTCTTCACTTTTAGAGAGTATCTCTCATTTCACATTTTAGATTAAAGATCAGTTTCTGTGAGAATATGTAGATGTTTAATTGAAAACTGTTATATAAACTGGATAGAATAACAAATTCAATTTTCGAATTACCATCCGCCGCCGGAACATGACATTGTTGTAAGTATAATTTTAAGTGCTGACTTAAAGAAGAGTTGACACAAGTTTTTAAAACTGGCCAAAATAAAAAAGGTTCTGATTTTTTTTTTATACTTAAAATATAAAACTTTGGTAACCCGATGAACGCTAGCGGATTGCCGCTTCTGTATTTATTGTAAAAAATAATGGTTTGAATTTTTTTTATAGGATAGGGTGGCAAACGAGAACACAGTCCGCCTGATGGTAAGTGTTTGCTGTGGCCCATCGACATCTACATCTAACCTCGTTTGCGAATCAAAATGCAGATGCGTTGTCACCCGTGAGGACTAAGATGGAATGCCTCTTTTCCAGTAATAAGGGTCTCCGGTTCTCTACACTCACCATATGAAACACAGTAGCATTAAGCTGCTATTTTACGCTGGTATTCTGTGAGAGCGTGGTCTTTCCCCGGTCGAGCCGACCAATTCGTGTTAAAACTATACTACTAATATATCTGCAGCATGGCTCTATCACGTTTAAAATTTTTGAATTGAAGTGGTATGTATAATATAATAATAATAATAATAATAATAGATCATTTTGTCTTAATTTTTTTGCCCGCTGCGGTGTATTGATATACTATCGCCATCGACGGTTTATTTAAGTAAAGCCAGTCGTTAAAATCCGCCAGAAACTGAGCAATGTGGGTGACATTATATTATCATCAACATATTATGATAATAATATAAACATTGTTGTAAAGGATAATTATAGTAACAAAAGAGTGAATTTCAATAAGTATTATTTATAATCTATATTGAATAAAAAAGTGTCTGTGTCTGTTTCCAAAGGTTATGACAAAAACTTAACCGCCAACAATTAACCTAATATTACCCAGCACTGCTGCTGATTGACGTTATTGTAATATTGCTTAAAGTGGGTTTTGATATTTAAAGGTGATGATTTTACGTAATTTATGCGCATGTGAACTATTAATGGAAACGATCAAATATAAACCTCTAATTATTATGTACTTTTTGGCACGTTCACGTCATTTACCCCCCATAAATGCTAAATGCGTTTTACAATACCCACGAGACGAAACTGTGTGATCGATTCTCTTATGCGGTTTTTACCTAAGTTATTTAAATTATTCCTCTGTAATTGTTTATTTATTTATGCTATATTTGCACACTAAATACAAAAAGGCGGAGTTAAAGCAGAAGGGCATTCTCTCCCAGTCTATATTGTTAATTGTTCTATATTCTGTATTTAGACCAGTTTTCAAATAATGACCAAATACGTCATGCCTAAAAAGCCATTCTGATCACGGAACACACTACGCAGCGTGGTCGACTACGCACTTGGCTTTTATTTCTAAGTAAATAAATGTCTTTTAAATGCATGTTTTTATATCCGTTAATAATTTTACTGTAAAAATACTATCTTCAATATTATATTTAAGACTTTAGTTTACTTTTAGAGATTACTTTACCGTTATTTTCAATTACTTTTCAAGCTTTTTTTATGTAATTTTTGTAAGTAAACATTGAAATATATATATATCTACGTGGTATCTTCAACGTGGTAGAGCCATGCTGCAGCTATGTTAGTAGTATAAAATAGCAGTTCAACACTGCTGTGTTTCGCATGGTGAGTGTAGAGAACCGCGGAGACCCTTTTCACTGGATAAGAGGCATTCCATCTAAGTCCTCACGGGTGACAACGCATTGCATTTCGATTCTTTAATGATCAACCACTTACCATCAGGTGGACTGTGTGCTGGTTTGTCACCCTATCCTATAAAAATAAAAGATAAAAAAATCTAACTTTTACAACCTATCAAAATCCCACTGCTTCCCCATAGACTGTCTCCTAGGGGTAATATTTGCCATAGTTGCCACGCTTGGCAACCATAGTTTTTTTGTTGTTATTAGGAAGATGCTGCCCATCTCCTGGATTGTTTCCTGTCTTTGATCGCTTCTTACAAAACCCACGAGTAGAGGGTATTCATACCTCGCCACTACACAAACATTTTCTTTATAACTTTTACTTTAGTGTTTTTTAATATAACTTGTGTTATATATGGCTTGAAGGACCAAATAATTTTAAATTAAAATATGTTTTTTTTTAATTTCTTTGAATAGATTACTATTTTTGTCGAATACATTCAAAACATATTTAATAGAATGAATGATATTGAATTGGTTGTAAATTATGTTAAAGGAAATAAATAAAGTAAATGGACTTACCTCGCCATTTTTGTCAGCTTTCTTACAAACATCGATAAACATTTTGACCTGTTCTAAAGTAGGCGGTTCGAATTCTTCTATTGGTATTTCTGTCCACCTCAGTCTGGCAATGTCATCAACGGGAGGCTTTTTGCCAGCTGTCAGTGTCACTAGATTCGTTATACCTTGATTCACTAGGAACTGCAAATTTTCCTTATTTCTAGGAAAAGCCATAGCGGCTAATTTTTTTGGAATGACCCATGAGAATTTGAGTGGGGGATACGCGTCTACTTCTATTTCCGGGAAAGGGTTCTCGGGTATTATAACGGTTAAATCGTTTCTTATTTCCTTTTTTGCGCCCGCTAAATATTTATCTTCCTGTTCCGTTATATTTTCCATTCTGGTATATACGTGATAAGTTTCGTCGTTCATAATGATGTAGTTGATATTTCACTTTAAAAACTTATTAGCTGCGATATTCTCGCGTTCACAAACTTCCAAATGTACTTTTAATTTTAATGCAAGTTACGTTGAACAACACTTTCGCACCTGACCATCGGGCACGGTTTTTGTGTGTTGACTGACGATGTAGAACGGAAACTTGGCACTGAATTAACGATTCTGGAGAGGATGTAATATTTATTTCTGGAGACCCAGACCTTGAATCTATCTGTCACCTCCTGTAAATAATTGCTAGTCGAGATAATGCTTTATGGCTACGAAATACGATTCAAATGTTTTAAAAATACTGTTTATATTTTGTGTATGTACCTAACACGTTTACTGCAGAAAGCAACAGGTGCTTTTGGCGCGTATTATCGTTCATTTAATTATTAGTCTAGTGATCTATCTTTGTTGCTTAGATGACGTAGGAATCGATAGTCTACGAGTATAAATCTATAAATATTTCATCAGGATGAAAGTGAATTAAATAGATTGTCAAGTCAATAAGCCTTAGTTTAAGTTCATGATGACCCTACTTCCGATTGAATTGTTATATGCTTATGATTATTAGGTATATAAAATGTATTAATGATTTTAACTTTTCTTACCGTTTATGCGGTTGTGTTTACGAGTAAGGACGTGATTTATAACATGATAATATTCTAGGCAGGATTAATAAATATATTTTTAAGGGTGACAATCGAGCACACAGCCCACCTGATGGTAAGTGGTTGCTGTGCACCATAAACATCTAAATATATCCTCAATTAAGAATAAAAATTCAGATAGCAGCATTAAGCTGCTATTTTGCGCTAGTATTCTGTAAGAGCGTTTACTTTCCCGTTCGAGCCGACGCAATCATGCTACAGTAATAATATAGCTGTAGCATGATTCTACCACGTAAAAAAACATATACATATAAATTATTGAAATAAATAATCTAAGAAAATAAATAAATATTTTTTTGGAAATGCCAATCTATCACCATCGACAGGTGGCGGTATAGGTAAACATGTTTACTCCAGGTGCAATATCTTTAGACCTGCGACGGGAAGCAACATCAACGGTGCACACGTCTAGTACTGTAATCACCAGTCCGTCTGCCAGGCGTGACGATAAAAACAAATCCCCATTACTGCGGGAGAGGCTCCAGTGCATAAAAGTCCAGCAGTGGACTTTTATAGGCTGATCACGATGAAGACTAAGTCAACTGCTGAACATCATTCAGTTAGAAGGTGTCCACATAATTACCATATTCTGATGGCAGAGTTGCGATATGCATTTTATTTAATTTTATTTAAAATTAGAATATTCTTTCAATTTTTATAGTTGGAATTTCATAATCGCTTATTTATTTATTCTTCATATTTTATAGCTTTAGTAATTATTTTCACTATTAAAATGTTAATTACCATTATTGGTAAAATATGCGTATATGTAATATTTCTTGTAAATAAATTGTCATTTTATTAATGATAAAAGGCTAACCAAATTTCCTAAATTATAACATTAAGAATAGACATTATATAAAAGGTTATCTACACAATCAAAAATAGAGCTATAATTAAACGCTTTTAAAATGACAAAAATATCGTATTGTCGTATTGATTATTTTTAGTTGGAAGTATCGTTTATATTTCGTCACTTGCCAAGGGAAAATTTTGAGGTGACTGATCAAATATTACAAGTAACAAATAGGGCAGCCAAGTATGTCAACGTTGCGGGTCTGATCTTGATACTTGGGGTACAAATTTAACGTATATACTTAGATACAAATTCGGGCTCCTAGTTAGCACAGCATAGGGCCGCATTTTCTGCAGTGTTTTTTCTTGCAAGGCCAGAGAGGAGATGTCTCACATGTTATCGTGGCCCTACCACCGGTTTGTTACAACGTGAGAGGTGCGCGCCCAATGCCAATGCGATGGTCATTTCACCTTTGTTTACGGATCTTTTCATATCTCTCATCTTTAGTAGCCTTTTTTAAACTCACTGCTGAATTTATGTAGGCCTATTCAAGAATGCATGGCTTAAAATATTGAAGGCTTCTAACTTATAACGCTTGCCTCATCTAATTTGCAATGTTGTCGATATCAGTCTCATGTTGTTATGAGACTAGGTTTCATATAGTGGAACTTGTAATAAAAAGATATGTACCAACATTCAATTGTGTTTCTTGCCTACCATGCGCTGTCTTAAATGTGATTTTGGGTTTTTTGATTGTGTAAGCGCTGGTTACCCATCACTAATTTCATAAGTTTCCATCTCTAAACTCATATTTTTCCATCTAAATGACGGGGTTCAAGCCCGGACTGCTTGTGTACTGCGAAATTTAAGACGAGAGCTTTACCCCTGACTTACCACGTCTATCAGTAGGTATAATATTGTTACGAGTTACGACTACGACAGCCAGTTGAGTTTTGCTGTATAGCGCGTTGCACGAGAATGTTCACGAAGATAAGATTCAACGCCCTCTGTCAAGTTAAAAAGTTTTTAGACATAAGAATGGACAACGATCAAACTAATTGATGCTAGGAAAGCCCAACGCTTTCTTCCTATGGGTATAGGTATTGTTAATCCCGAAAATTTTGGGAATTTTCCGATTGAAGGAAGTGAGTGTTTCAATGACCCGGATTGGTCTAGAATGTTCGATAATTCTCTTTTTGGATATAAAGGCATGCACCGGCGAGCGGAGAATTGATTATTTGAGATTATTGAATTATTCTCCGGGAAGCGACTACAAAGCGATCGACCGCGCGTCGTGATTGGACATTTGGTATGTCTGGGGAAAATTACATCCATTCCTTCTCCTAATTGGCATTTTTATTCACGCCGCATGTAACAACTGGAGTCAGAAGCGGAATGCTCCACGCGTCAGGAACAGGAAGAGTCATGGAACCATACTGCTGCCTCCGAACCGACTCCTGCAGCGGTCTCATGATTAGGGCAAGGATTAGATGGGGATATGGCTGCGTTATTGACTTCTATTTAAGGCCAGTTGCGGGCCAATAGGAAGCTGTTATTTAAGAACGTCGCGTTAGTCGCTTCTTGGCGTATAATTCACTATCGCGTTTCCGGAATAATTATTTCTCCGATCGCTGGCACACGCACGCTTTTATATCCAACTAGCCGTACCCGCAACTTCACCCGCGTGTAATTTAGAGTTTTAATTTTTTTGCGCGTAATCTTTTTCTAAAATTAAAGTAGCCTAAGTTACTAGAATAGAATAGAATGATTTTTATTCAATATGGATTACTACATAATACTTATTGAAAGTCATTATTTTATTTACCACTGGTTCGGAAAATACCTCTGTCCTGGGAAGAACCAGCAAGAAACCCAGCGGGACTTTTTTTTTAACATAATTTCACTTAACAATAATTTTGTTTATACAATTTTAAATGAATTTTCATAGAACCAGCATGGTGGCGATCACCTTATTCCCAGGGGTTATTTTCATTCATGTATTCCTTGATATTATAATAACCCTTTTTGTACAGTTTTTCTTTAATAAAACTTTTAAACTTGTTTATTGACAAAATTTGAACATGTTCTGGGATTCTGTTGTAAAAGCGTATACATTGCCCCATAAATGAATTAATAATTCTGTGGAGTCTAGTAAGTGGCATTACAAACTTATGTTTGTTCCTAGTGTTTAAGGTATGAACATCCTTATTCTCATTAAAGCTGTTTATGTTTTTATGTACATACATTACATTTTCATAAATATATTGCGATGCCAAAGTTAATATGTTTATTTCTTTAAATTTTTCTGTAAGGGACTCTTTACAATTTAGATTATAAATCGCCCGTACGGCTCTCTTTTGCAAAACAAATATAGCTTCAATATCAGTTGTATTACCCCATATCAAAATTCCATAAGACATTACGCTATGAAAGTAACTAAAATACACTAACCTAGCTGTCTCAACATCTGTGAGACTTCTAATCTTTCTTACAGCATATACTGCAGAACTAAGTCTGCTTGCTAATTTAGATATATGGGGGCCCCATTGAAGTTTCGCGTCAATAGTAATACCGAGAAAAACAGTGGTATCCACAAGACTCAACTCCTCCCCATTTAAGAGCACATTGGTTTTCGAATGTTTTACATTAGGTATAGTAAATTTAATACATTTTGTCTTATTGCCGTTTAAGAGCAAATTATTGGCGTTAAACCAATGTACTAGTTTCGATAGAGCATTATTTACATCATCATATTTAATTGACTGCCGTTTCAGTTTGAAAATTAAAGAGGTATCGTCAGCAAATATTACTATATCGTGATTGTCCCCTACAAGATAAGGTAAGTCATTAATATAGATTAAGAACAGGAATGGGCCAAGAATCGAGCCCTGAGGAACGCCCATTGATACTACCGATCCGGAGGAACATTTACCATTAATGACGACTTTTTGAGTTCTGTTACTTAAATATGAAGTAATAAGTACTCCTTATAACATTAGCTATTTGCCAGTAAAAGTGCAGTCAAAATCGGTCCAGCCATTTCGGAGAGTAGACGGAACAAACATACAAACAAAAAATTAAAAAATTGTGCTTTTGATAAAAGAACCGCTTAAGTTGTCACTTAAATTGTCACATAACATGCATTGAGTGAAAGGCTGATATTTTGACATTACAAACAGATACTTCAATTTTATTTATTTATATAGATCTATTGGAATTATCGAATATTCTAGATTAATACGGCCATTCAAACATTCACTTCTTTTAATGGGAAAAATCATAGATTAATGAAAGTCACCGCGCGCTCTGACTAGATACCGCAGGCGCTCATGTAAAATGCGGCAACAAATACTACGCCGAAATCGGCGTACCCGAGCCAGTCGCGTTGCAGGCAACGTGTGAGGTGAACGTACCGAATGTTTTATTAAATTTTGATCATAATCCGTAGTAAAATACCAGTTTACGTATTGAAACTGTGTAAAAATAATACTACAAGAAATAAGAAAGACACTGGAATCACATACTATCATTAAGTATCATACAATTTCGAAATTTTAACATAAAATAACACGAGCCATAAATAAGTCACAAAATATCAATGACGCTATTCAGTGTTGCCGCGAAAGCAAAAATAAAGTTCCCCGTGGCTGAGATTTTTATATGTGAATTTATTG